AAATTTACTTCAGACGAATCATTTCAGACTTGTTGTGTACAGATTTATTCACAATAATGAAATGTAAATTTGCTCTCTCTCTCTCTCATTGGTTGTCTTTTTTTTTAGGAAAGATTTTGTAGTTAACTTTCAAGAAACACCAGTAGTGTGCATCAAACTCATTTGCATATAAGTGTCTAAGTTCAATAGAGCTATTTGCTTGAATCCCAGTTCTTCTTGGTACTAATTAGACTAAACAGTTAATTATGCCAGAATAATCACGATTCTAAATAGACTTTATTCTCAAGCTCACTCTGAGCATATTGATAGTTTGCATAGCGTAATATGGTAACTTTTGAACACGTCACTAGACCTACACAGTAGCAATATCAGTAACTCACTACCTTTCTCACAGGTCATCCTGTATTTCTAATTCATTTTTATTGTTCACCAAAAAACTGATAATAATAAATCAATGAACATGTTATTTTTCGATTTTTTTTGTATTTTAAGCTAGTTTATATTGTTTTTAATTTTACAATGGGCTTTTATATATCCATACTCTGCAGTATTTGTACTATCTTCATGTATGATAAATATGAAAAATATCCTGAAGTATTGCTCTGTTGATTAGCTCTTCTCGGGAATTTCTTCATAATTAACTGATTATCCGCACATGTTTATTTTGACGAGTATAGAACTTGTACCTCTCAGTTGTTTAATGCTAGGCCACACAGGATTCCTATTTGTAAATTTTATATCCCTAACCTAGGAAAACTATCTTCAACCAATCAGGCCCTTCCGTTAGGCTACGCATCAGCACTTGTGGTCCATTTATCTATATCATCATATATAGAGAGCAGCTCTGCTTGAACTGGCTATTGTTAAACAACAATTATACAGTGGGGCCCTTCGTGGTTCCCTAATAGGGAACTTCCTCATTACCCACAGCAACGTGTTAATGTCCCACTATCACAGCCAGTAAAGTGGAGACTGTGTGTATTATACATACACCAACGTTTGTGACGGGCAAGCATAAATACTGTACCTGATGTACACAGATAATTATGTGTGTAAGTCAGTAAAGAAAGGAAAACGCTGGGTACACAAAAAATATTGCTGCACAAGAAGGCTAAACGTCATTCTTTTTTTTTTCTTCAAAATTTCAAACTGGTGTTCTCAGCTGTTGCATAGAACAGCAGTTTGTAATCATTAAATAACAAAAGGGTGGATGTTTTCAAAGGTTTCATTATTATTTGATGAATATGTAAAAGTTATCAGTCACTTACAAGAAAATACGAATGTCAAACTGTAATGATATAAGATGCACGGTGCTACAAAAACACAAATAAGCAGTCATTTATATTCAGAGTTATTTTTTAGTTTATTTTTTTACTGATGAACAACTTCTTTAAAATTACTAGCCAGTGGTTATTTAATTTCACAGTGGCTGAAAATTAGGCAGTGAATGAACGTTATACAATAACGCTCATAATATTCGGTTAAGTTGTTCAAGTTAAATTTGTAGAAATAACCATGAGGAATTTCATTTTTTTTAGAGTAGCCAAGTGGACATCTCAGTAACTAGTAATTTCTCGTTAATTTCTAATTTAATAACAACTCAATTCTTACATTTTACAGTAAAAAGAAATTAAAGTTTACTCTTAAATGCGTTATTATAAAGCTTATATTTTGTAAAGTCATGGAATTAGTTATTAATTTTATTTAGACACACGGGCTTCCTGTTATATTAAATTAGTAATTATAACACAAGAAAATAATAGTGATATCTAACATAGAAATAGCATAGAGCTTGTTTTTACAATACCGAAAATATAAACAACACAGTAAACACGTACTGAACAAGACTGAATGGTAACTAATTTTATAAGACGTGCATTTTTGAAATTGTAAAACCTTTAATAAGTTAACTAGGAACGTGATTAAGAATCTTTATTCCGCAACCAAGAATTGTTTTCAACAATTATTCTTGCTATTTGTGTATTCCAATTTACTATAACATTTTTCTGGCTATTTTTCTTTTCTTTTCGGATTTACATTCAAAGCGATATAAACTCAGAAATATGATAGACCTGTAAAAATTGTGGTTTCATGATTTAGAATAATCTACTCATAAAGGAGAATATAAAAATCAATCTCTCTCTCTCTCTTTTTTTTTTAGTAAGCTGAACTTATTTTTTTATTAGAGATATACGCTCGGGTAGGTTGTTCCCACAATAGCAGGGGATTTGAAAATTTTGGGGGGTGATAATTACTGGTAAATTATCTAAGGCCATGAAAATGAAGACGGCGAAATAAGATGGAATTTACTTAAGATGGACATGTCAGAGCTTTGTTCGTCATACTGTAGAGTTCAGATTTGCCAGCAAGTTCTCACAAAATATATTTATTCCTACGCACCGTTTGACTTGACTAGAACTGAACTGAATAATACAAAGTATTAGGCGGGTCGCGGGTTCGAATCCTCGTCACACCAAACATGCTCGCTCTTTCAGCCGTGGGAGCGTTATAATGTTACGATCAATCCCACTATTCGTTGGTAAAAGAGTAGCCCAAGCGTTGGCGGTGGGTGGTGATAACTAGCTGCCTTCTCTCTAGTCTTACACTGCTAAATTAGGGACGGCTAGCGCAGATAGCCCTCGTGTAGCTTTGCGCGAAATTCAAAACAAACCAAACTAATCAAAGCGTCAACTTCCCTTTTTCCACCAGTCACCTACAAGTTACAGAATAATGATTGTACTTTGTGATTCCCGCGCCAACAGTAGGTCAACTTTCTGGTCGCTAAGGTCCAACAGACCAATGAGAGCACAAAGGCAATCTAAAATTGGTAGGGAATAGAACGATATGATGTTCATTAGGTGGTGGTTTGAAACAACTTCTAATGCATTTCTAAAGACGACTGAAGACCAGAAATATGCACGAATTTCCGTATTTTAGATTTAAAGTTATGGAAGGGGAAGATTGATATTAAGAATATCATACAAATATATCGATTGATTATTTTAATTAGATCGCAAAATACAATGATTTGTCACATGACTGTTTTATGTAATATCAATATAATTTTATACAGATTGCATAGCACAGACTTTAAAATACATAATTTGGACATTAATAATAGCAGGCTAAAGCAAGTAGTTTAACTAAAAAAAGATGGGAAAATCACATTGAATGAAGTTTCAGATTCAAGTTCAAACTTAATTCAGAACACAACAGTTTTGAGTGGGTCAGATTATATTTAAAAGAACCTGATTTTACCAGTTAAACCTGTTGAGTTTTTTAATTAAATTTATTTACATAAGTGGGATCGCTGTCTAAAAGCAAGTTGAAAACTGTTTATTGAGCAATAGGTACGCACAAGTTCGAGTAGGTTTATACTGAAAAATAAATGTTTATTTGCATAGTTTATTAATAACACCAAAGTTGTGAGCGACAAAATACTGGTTTTTCTACTCTAGCACAAATGTTCACCAACGTATTTTACCATTTTAGAAGCCCCCAGTGGCACGGCAGTATGTCTGCGGACTTACAACTCTAGAATCCGTGGTGGGCAGAGCACAGATAGCCCATTGTGTAGCTTTGTGCTTAATTACAAACAAACCATTTTAGAATAAGAAATGTATTCCGTTGACTAAAATACTATTGTTTAATTTTAGTTATCCAACTATAACTTTTCTACTATTAACCTGATGGAAGAAATCTTTAAGAACCAGGAAACTATCGTTAAAAAAAAAAAACTGGATCAGAAGAGCTCTAATTGTCTGTGTTAACCTTCAACTGATACCTACAAAATATTACTAATAAGAGGTCGGTGTTTAAGAAAAACTTTTTTATGCGTGTACATAATGGAGTTAACGTTGACGTCTAAATTAACATAAGTAATCACAATTCAGTGTAAATTATACGTGTGAGCAGTGCCTGTTTCCTAAACTGTGATGCTAATTATGGAAGGTTGTAAGATATAAGTCATTTGTAATTTGTTAGATAGCAGTCTTGAAGTCTTCTGGTGGCTTTGCGGTAAATCTGAGAGCTTATAACTCTTAAAATCGGGATTCTATACCCGCAGTGGACACATCACAGATAGTCTATTATGTAACTTTGTTCTTACCAAGAAACAAACAATCTTGATTACGGAAGAGGTACTCCTTAGACTTAGAGGCTAAAGATGTTGTTTTGGACTTTCGGCATTCAAGACTTATTTTCTGATTTATAAAGTATTTCATAGCTTGTGATTTTTAGAAACTATTATTATTATTTTTTATCGTCATTCAAACTACATATCTTTTTGTATAATTATAAACAATAAGTTGTTTATTAACCCGGTATCTCTAATTTAAACATATTTAAAACTAAACCAACCAGTCGTTGGCCAGAAGGTAAGCCTTGGCAAGTGGGCGAAGCGATGACAGAATAGCTAATGTTTTCAAGAAATTCGTTGAACGATATACTCCACCCTGAACGTTTCTTGAAAGTGTTTCACAAACACATTTAGCTACGAGTAATCTTGGTTATAAATACAAGATAGATAAATAGACCACGGTCCAAAGAACTGAAGGTCCTGGAACCAGTTGAAGTTATCTACTGTTGAATCGTTTCTTATTTCCAACGATAAACAGAGGATTTGTGACAAGTTACAAAGACTACAACTCTCCTTCCACTATCTGGTATTATGTCTCTGAGTATCACTTCCTTGTCTCCGGTCGTTATCAGCAATAAAAAATAACATTACGTCTATACACAGGTTAATAAAAAATTGTCTAACTTCAGAAATTTGCTTATCGAATATAACATATTAATGTGAGAAAGTTTTTCTAGTTAAAAAAATATTTATGTAGTTCTTTTACTTTTTTTGTATAAACGTGAAAAATGTATCATATTTAGTTTATTCAGGCTTCAGTTTCTTTATAATGCAGTTAATCCTTGTTTTATTCAACATTTTAAATTATGATGTTTACATTAAAAATAGTTATAATACTCATGTTGTGCAACGTTAATTTCAGTGTAAAGATGGCTGTAAAAAGTGGACACTCGCTGTCAGCAATTCCTGCCAAGATACATGTGTAAGTATACATGTGTTTGTCATTTTGCCACAATCAGAAGTGAAAAATGTTTAATATTTTCTAATATTGTATTTTTTTCTTATACTACTGAAACTAAAATCTGTAAAAATAAAACAAAGATTAAAGAAAAATGCTTGAAACAATTTAACAGCAGTATTGTATATTATATACACGTTTTCGTGTTTTTTTTCTGTTGTGTGACATGATCTAGCATGGGTCTTTGAAATAAACTACCTATTCCAAAATTTTCGGCGAATGAATATGAATCGAATTTACTAAAAGTTAGAGAAATCCAGCTTTTGTAAGATTTAGTTGCATGTGATATTTTTGATTATAAATATACCAGTGATGATAAAAACAGTGCGTTGGTTTATGGGAAATATAATTATACAAATTATAGATAGCTCTCCATTATTCAATTGAACGAATGTTTTTTCCAGATACTTTATTCTTTCATTAAAGAATAATCCAAGTGGTAGAATACGTTATACATCTATTCTTTGTTACGTTTCTTTTTTTCATTATTGTATCCCTATTATAGAGATTATTTTCCACTGTTAGTTTAGTATAAGGATTTAAGACTAACCTAAATCTCATAAGCTGACCGAACTTTTTGAGATATTATTGGGATTACGGCCAAAAGTATTGCTAACATTGAGGGTATCCAATTGATATAACTATACATTCTAATCTTTATAAATAATAACTCAAACGCAGCATATTTAAGTAGGTATACTCACTGCCGGGTATTATCTTTAGTTACGACCTATGTAGATAGCTTGCTTTGATCACAAGTCAATATTAATTTCTAGAATGTGTTGTCTCCATGCATGTCGGGAAACACCCCCGATTACCTAGTGTCCTTTGGACGTTACCCTTTGTTGTTTAAGATATTGGTCTACAGCGTCCTCTATTCGTATTTTGAAAATATAAAGGCAAAATACTTATAGATTTATCGAAAATTAAAATTTGACGAGACATTGAGATTTTATAAATAATGGCAGTGTAATAAAATGCTTGCTCCAAGTCCCATAATTCAACAGAAGAACTTGCCCAAGCTCCAATAACTTTTAACGAAAATGTAAACAAGTTATTTATCTTAAAATAATCTAAGTCTTCGGATTTATAATGGTGTAATCAGGGGTTCGATTCCCCTCGGTGGACTCAGCAGATAGCTGTGGCTTTGCTATAAGAAACACACACACACATTTAAGATAATCACAATACTTACAAAACTTACGATCTAAGTAACTCAGGTTTTTTACGATCTCATACTGCAAATAATAAATACCTACTGATGACTAGATAACTAATTCTACACGAATAAAAGAGCCCTCCCCCATCTCGCCAGCGGCTCAGCGATAAATATGTCAGGTCTTATGAGGCTAAAAATCAGGTTTTGATATTCATGGTGTACACATCACAAATAACCAAATAAACCAACCCGAAGAAAAAAAGGTTAGCTTATCAAATATTTATATGAGTATATTTCGATCCATTAAGATTCTCTCGTAAATTTTCAGTCACTCTAATGACACTTATATAGTTTAATGTTATTTATTAGTCGAATTTATTGTATAATTTTCTATAAAAAAATATTCTAATATATAAAAATCATGAGTCAGTAATTACATCATTGAAAAACTACAACAGCGCTCCCTAGCAGTTGATCTATTTTTGCTCACAACTGCAAATAATATTTTATAAACGTTTATACTGCATAAAAACGTGATATCTGCTAAATATTATAATAAGGAGTTAGTTACGGGAGTTTATTTTCTATTTGAGAGATTAAAATTTGTTTTACATGTGTATTAGGCCTTTTCAGTGGAAATGGTTTCAAAACATAAGACCTGCTATCTAGAGTAGTTATTGTTTTATGAAATAATTTTTGTCAAAATGTACAGTACAAAAAAAAGAATGTATAAATAAATAAATACAAGCGTTATGTTATTTCACAGCAACACAAACTTTATTCCCCAAACACAGATTCTTGTGAACTATAGTACAATTGAGTGTTGTAGTGATATAAACACACAAGTTCCGTGTGTTTTCAAACAACAGATATTATGTATGTTTATTTAAATACACTGTTGTATCGTGAAGTTACATTTTTATTATGTGTATGTAGATTATATAGAATTTAACATAAAGTTTATGCATCTGTTTTCTGTTTTGTTAGCTTACAATGATTGTAGTTTTAACGTGAACGTGTGTTGTAGTCATTCAAGCATCAGATTTGTTTCATAGAACACGAGTTGTATTGTTTTTAACACAAGTTTTTGACAGAGTACTTAAACTTATCAAATATGTGTCAAAGAATGTCGAATCTCTCCAGTACACTCTTCCGTATTATCACGAACTTTGTTGTTTTATGTACCTCTGATAGATTTTTTTTTCAGAAAGGAACGATAATTTATTTATAATACCAATAAGACAAGATTTTTTTTTCTCGTGTAAATATAATCAACATATTGTCAAACTACATAACTTTTGAGTGTTATATTTCAGCAGTCTAACATAATTTCAAAAGCTTAGTAAATATTTTTTGTGGTGACTTTGGTTGTTTGCACCTTCATCATTATTCTTCCAACTTTTTAATTACCATTTAATGGACCTCTATTTCCTAGTGATCATAATAACCTAAAGTCTGAATTTAATTCTTGATTAAAACTAAACAATATTGTAAAAATCTATCATCATTGACATTTATATTCCACTGTGATAACAAATTGGCTTGTAAGTTCCTACAATATTCCCATTCATTTCATGTGTCATATGATTGCAATACGTTAATTCTGTCAGATTTTGGAACTTTCTAAGATTACGTCATATTGTTTTTACCTTGCAGAAGACTATTATGCTATAAAAGTTTTTGATTATTCTTTGCACACTGTCGTAATAAGGATTCCATATATGATAGCATAATAAGCCTCAGTTTAGTCAAACAAGTTTAATGATTTTCAACGTACTTCAAACAAGCAAAGTTTGGTATAAAATACCACGATCATACTTTCATGCAAAAGCTTCCTCAAAAGGTTTCATTAATGACAACCTTAGGGTTAGTCCAAAAAATGATTTTTTTTTTCTTCAGCTGTGAACTAATGTTATTAATATGCAGAAAATTCATTATTAATTGAGAATTTGCTTAGAATATGATACATTTTCAATATAAATTAGTTAACTGCAGGAATATTTAGTGGGGATTCGCTGCCCTGTAACTCTAAAATCTTATGAGTGAAAGCAAAGAAGAGAAAACTGCGACCCTTCTTATCATGTAGATGTGTTAAATGATTAAGCTAATGGGTTTACTGACTATAAAATACCAAAATCATTGTTTTAGAGAAAATATCAACGAGTAAACTACCTGATCATGAGGTAGTGGTATCCGAAAAACTAGAAACATCAGACAAATGCAATGAAAAAAACAAAACTAAAACAATCTGTATGGACGTTATCTCGTGGCTTAAATTTTGCGTTAACGTGGTCAAGGACTCTGGTCATAGCTTTCCTTGCCACTGTAAGGAAGAAGCCACAAAAAAGTATTTTAAGATGAAGCCACAAAATCCTATTATCAGCCTGAAGGGAAAGTCAAACAATTGCCTTTGTAAGGAAGCCAGCATTTCGAAATCTTAAAGCTGAGACGTACTTTTCGTTATATTCTCGGGATCTAATGAACGTAGGCGCTGTGGTGCGGAAGAATTGTCCCTCTAATACTGAGCAATCCAGGGTAAATCCCTTTTAAGTATCCCCCCCCCCCCACATTAACATCTACTCTACCATCCATTCCAAGGCCACTTAATACTTGGTAATATCGAATGCAACTTAATATTTGAGTCAAAACTGAACTATTTGTGACTAATACGGACGATGGTATAATGCAAATATTTATATGATCTTAACTAATTGTGGTGGTTAAAGACGATCCGTGGAGATTCTTGTTAAGAGCCGTGTGGTAGTAGTGATACCTTCAGATATTTACGTGTATTTCGTTTTTCACCATCGGTTGCACGGCAACACATTACATTAGTTCTGAGTTGCGCCCTACACCGTAGTGGAAGGAGGAGGTCTGAACTATACCTGATCCATTCTGGTCACCCCCAACATGCACCAAAACCGCAGCACAGAGAATACTCCGCTGTATATGAACTGTCCACCATGTTATGAAGATAACCCGATCTTCACAGACCTGATATTTAGTCTGAGATTCCCCAAGTGATATGAATAAGATAAGTTTCTTAATCTTACCAAAAATATAGAATGCATACCAAACTTTACATATGTAGACCAATCCAGTATATGATTTTAGAATTCAGTCTTTTTCCCCCATACTTTCTTATGGTGTAGTGTTCATTGCTCAAGGCCATATTAACCAAAAGGAAGAGTAGTCAAGTTGCCTTTAAGCCTCCAGTGCTCATGCTTTGTTTTTCTTAACAACCTTCTCAAAAAATATTTAAAAATAGAAAAATGTAGTCTTTTAAAAATTATTACAGTTGTCCAAAGGTTGTTTTGGCGGGTAAAATTTCAATGAAAATAACAAGAAAAGAAAAGGGGACCGCAGATTTAAAGTTGCCTACAGGTCAATTATGGTTTTAATTTGGATCTGTTTATTCGTGGAAGAATTTAGTTTCCGGTGTCCAGTCTTCCTTATTTGTGAAAGGCAGGCATATGATCGTACTAACAATTCTTATATTTAAACCAAACGTTCCTTATTTGTAGTTACAAATAGAAATCAATTGTCCTTTACTTGTAATAATTTCATAGACTCTGAACGGTATTCTTGCTTTTTAACCATTATGTTTACGTCTATGTGTTGAAAATAAAACATATTTTTATGTGTCTAAACATTTTATAGCTACATATGGAACATATATCAACATATGGAATTTACAGTTTAAGTTATTGGTGTTGGAGATAGCTATAAACTCCTGGTATAAATAAGTAAATGTCGAAAATTTCAAGTACATAAAAAGACAATGAACTTTAATCTAAATTACCTAATAACAATAACAACGTTGTCGTCGTTTAGAACAAAGCCACACTGGGATATCTGCTGTGTCCACCTTGGGAAATCGAACCCCGGATTTTAGCGTTGTAAGTCCGTAAGCTTACCGCTGTCCCACTCATAATATTGGTGCTTTGTACAAGTTGTTTTACTTTGTAAAATGTGTCTTTCGGATGAAAGTATTTTACTGGCTTATAAAAAATCTTAAGTATGCTTCGTAACTGAAACAAAAACTGTAAGCCTAATCAATGCCCAGCTAATGCAAGCTTAAAATTCAGTTGCATAAATGTCAACAGTGTCAGTCATGGGTGTGTCATACGACGTGTTAGCACATCCCACAAATGTTCAATGACATTGAGCGAGTTCAGGAATATGTAGTTGCTCAAAGTTTATACTTTTAGCTAGAGGACCTGTTCAACCTCTTTACACTTATCGGCTTTTATGTTAAAAATTGTCTTTAGAAATATTAAGCTGTACACAATATTTATAATACAAAGCTGCTTGTACCTACTATAAGTTATTTAATTAACAAATATTTGAAGCTCTAGTGTGTTAAGACAGAAACAAAATCCATTATGAATGAAAATTTTGAAACTTTTGTATTTGGTGGATACTTATATCGTCTGATACATGG